GGTTAGACATGCTTCCACACTTTAACCTTCTTTACCCTATTCTTACACAAACTTTGGCCCCTACAGCACTTTCTACTATTTAGTTAGGCTTGATATTTTATTGAAACTGCCACACATAACTCAGAAATCAAATGCACAGTTATGGAGTTTATTAGGGAAGTAAAGTGGCTTTAATCAGGATTAGAAATGCTCGGGACATAGTTCTTTCAATCAGGACAGAGTTTTCTCAACCGTGCCTGTAAGCAGGACTTTCTCTCTGCCCAAAATTGCTTTACCTCGACTCTGCCCTGCTCAGGCAATGGTACAATACTCCTTTAGTTCTGCTGATTAAAACCTAAAATGACACTACACTCCGATATAAGCCTTCACTTTAAGACACAAGCTCTAACACCATACATCAGTGAGCTTGTTGTTGTTAAATACTGTTGAGTCCATTCCAAGCCATAGCCACACTGTATAGGATTTCCAAGGAGTCACTGGGGAGCTTGAACCACTGACCTTGCTAGTTGCCCAATTCAATGCCTGGAGACACCACATTTCACAAGCAAGTCTGTAGCCCAAGAACACTTATCTTTACTGGTTCTGTGGACTGGGAAGTCCAATGTTCTATCTGGTGATCAGGCTCTAGGTTCTGGTGCTGCCATTCCTCCAGTGTCACAGCCTTCTATCCCTAGGCCAAAGAGGTTCAATGCATGGGAATCTTGGTGTCCAAAGATAATCTTCACCCCTTCTCTGTTATTCTTTGATGATAATGAGATTCCACATCCTTCTTCTGAGATGGCTCATTTTATTGAGCCTAAATTGGAGTTCCAAGTTTTTACAATTACAATTAGCCGTGTTAACAATCACTCAAAACAGAATCATGTATTATCATATTATGATATGTTTCCACCTGATTTACTTAGTCCATTCAGGATAAAAGGTGTGAGGTGGCAGTTATAAAACATATGGGTAGGAGAACCATATGAAGTAATTCACCTCACCATAAGCCCTAACCTGAAAAAAAATACAACACACACCTTCATAAGAATTGTAATTATGTAAATGTTTCATGAAATAGAGAAAGAAAAACTACTTGCTATCTTTGCCTACTAGTACATTTTGGCAAGAAGACAAATAAGGGTTCTGAAGAAAAACACACACACACATATTTAAGAGATCTGTGAGCTAGGTCACAGAAAATACATATACTAGTGGAAAATATGAAAATATTAGTGATGTCATTAAGTTGGATTTTTTGAATAAAGGTCTTTTTACAAAGCCAGTTATGTCTCAGCCTTAGATAAGTGGGAAATTAAAACACTTTTGGCATTGTAGAATAAACACAGGATCACAAAGTCACCTTGAACTCCATGGTGAGGCAGTTCAAACTCACCAGTCAGTCCTTGAAACCATGTTCTTGGTTCCTGTGAGTTGGAACTGACTCAGTGACATTCAATAACATTGCAGATTGAAGACTTCCCTCCTGTCATCACACACAATCTAAAACAACTGACACTTAACTCCTTTTCCAGAACACAAGACTTACCCTTGGACTGAACAAATTTAAGGTGTTTTTTTTTTTTTTTTCAGCAAGAAGGAACAGCACAGGAGAGTAAGAAGGAAACCTAACTGTTCTAAATTCACAAAAGCAGTGTACCCAAAGCAGTGTACTCCCAAAGCAGTGTACCCAACTTGATCCATGCCTCTTTTATCCCCTAAGAAAATAAGTAAATAAGAATGGGAAATTTGAGCTTTACCTGCCTTCCTGAATTTTGCTATGGACCATTTGTGTGTAGTAAATTCCCCCATCTAACTTCCTCAGTTGCTCAACCCCTAAGTAAGACAGTCTGCAGCCTAATTGTCCCTTACATCTGTTCTCACATCACAACTGCTTCCTTCTCTGAGTTTCTAGCACATTCAGGATAGAATTATCACCTTATGTATCACTCACAGTAATAACTGGCAGTGTCCTCAGATTTCATTGTTTATCTTCATGTTCACTGTGCTATGGCGTATCCCGGTTATAGCGGTTCTGACCTGGAACTTCTGTGTGTGGATTGTTCCACCACTGTCTGGATTCATCCATCTCATACACTCACATCTTTGCCAGGAGTCTTCCAAACCTAGTGCATATACTAGGTGTAACCTGAAGCCTTTGAAGAGAACTTCATTTATGCCCCAGTCTTTCTCACTTCAACTTCAGCCTGCAACAACCGGACCTGATAGTGGATACCTATGAAGAGGAGAAAAGGTAGGGTGAAATGCGCTTACAGTTCTTTCCTCATATGTTTAGCTGGGGACATTTTTAACTGTAGACACTGCCATTCTCCACCATTCTCCAGCTCTTATCCATAGTGAGGGATCTGTGTTCTAAGGTAATTCTTAAAAGGAGGGAATTGGTTATTAGATGATGCTTTGGGATTCACAGATACATTAATATTTATATCAATAGACCATCAATATTCATATACTTAAGAGGCAAAATATTTACGAGCTCAAGACTAGTCTAAACTGAGTAAAAGACAAAAGTCACAGAGACCACATGACTCTACAATGCAGAAAATAGATTGTTAATCACTGTTAAACATGTTTCCTTTACATTGTCACCAAACACTTCACAGAGAAAGCACTTTTCATACATCAACCACAGGGCCTGTTCTTTCTTGTGAATATACTTGTAAATGGTCCAGATACCAACTCAAAATTTTCTGTGACCCACCAGGGACTCTGATACAGACCAGTTGTTGAGACTTCATCCTGTTCTCAGCCACCAAGGAGCTAATGGATTTCTATGAGAGAAGGACTGTTATTGCTCAACATCAGTGTCACACAAGCCCTTGGGTATCTTTAGAATTGATCCTCATTTTGAGACAATTTTCCCAAGTCTCTGTGTGGGTGTCCTGAAATTCCAAGTTGTTCAGCCCAGCCTTGTTGTGTGATCCAGTGCTTCTGATATTGTTGATAATAATAATTGCAAAACTCACAGCTCCAAAATCTTTCCATTAATTATTTTTCATTTAATAACTTTGTGTCACTTTTTACTAATATAATTCCTCAGAATAGCTTTGTATTTTGAGTTACCTTTTATCATTGCTAATATTTGCAAACTGAAATCTGATTAAATTGCATACATAAGCTTGTAACATCCTCTGACCCAATGTTTCTCTCTCAAACAACAAATCTAGGGAGTATCACCAATGTTAGACATTAGAATCTCTTATTCCTGGAAGCAGGGTGTCTCCCCTCACCAAATCCTGGACCCATTCAAATAATTACATCATCCTGTCTTCTCTTCTTCACTTTTATGATGTCTTCAAAATAAACAAGTGAATGTGAGTACTAGTTGATCATTTGGTCTCATATGGATTTTTTTAATCCAATGGTGCTTTGCACTTATGAATTATATCCTTTGTCAGTTTATTATTTTACCAAACAGTGAATGCAGGAGTCAATTTTGATCAAGTTTTCAAGAGTACCTCAGGAAGAGAGCTTCAGGGAGACTTTGCTGTGCAAACTTTCACAGAAAACACAACCAAGTATTATTTAAATGAATTAAACAAGCACACCTGCTGCTAAAGAGTCCATTAAAACTCAAGTACACTCAATGAATTACAGAATAGAAATGTTCAATGGAGTTTTCTTGGATGAATTTTTTTTTTAATCCAATAACCTTGCTTCTGTTGTTGACTGCATGGTTTTGAACATTCAACTTTAAGGAGTAGCCCATTGCAAACCTTTCATGCCACTCCAGGACCATTAAAATGTCTACATGCCCTAGAAATTCCCACATTTAAACATGGCAATCTTTGCATTATTAAGTCCATTAAATATTTCCAATAGAGCAGGATATGTATAGACACATAAATAGACTTTGTAATATTCTTCTTTAAATTTTTGTCACTGAAAACCTTATAAATAGCAGTAGAACACTGTCATCATCAGATTATTGAATACTGAAACATAATTAAGAGCACCACAATATTGTCACATATATTGGAGGAATGTGAGCTCCTCAGATTGGAAGGCACTCAGAATGTATTTAGAGAAGAGCTGTTCCTCAAAGTACAGTTGAATGTGATGATGTGGATGAAGTAAAGCACTCAGGAGCTTCATTTGTTGATGGGTCACAACTCAAAATGACAAATAACTGGAATCACCCATTAATAATCAGAACATGGAATGTGCAAAGTATGAATCTAGAATAATTTTGAATTGTCAAAAATTAAATGGAATGCATAAACATTGATATCTTAGGTATTGCTAAGTTGCAATGGACTAATATTGGCCATATTGAATCTGATAATTACATGGTTTACTATGCCAGGAATGACAAATGAAGAAGAATGGCATTACTTTGGTCATCAGAAAGAATATATCAAGATCAGTCATGAAGTATAATGCTGTATGGCATATGATAATATCCATATGCCTACAAGGAAAGTCAGTTAATACTACTGTTAGTAAAATTTACACATCAGCCACTACAGCCAGTGATGATGAAATTGGAGAATGATATCACCTTCTTCAGCCTGAAATTGATCAAACATGCAATCAAAATGTATTGATAATTATGGGTTATTGGAATCCAAATGTTTTAAATAAACAGGAAGCATCTGTAGTTGGAAATATTACCTTGGACACAGAAATTATTCTGGAGATCACATGATAGAATTTTGCAAGACCAATGCCTTCTTCATTGCAAATACCCATTTTAAACAACAAAAAGATGACTCTATGCAAGGACCTCACCAGGTGGAATACACAGAAATCACATGGACTACATCTGTGGAAAGAGATGGTGGAAAAGCTCTATATCATTTTCCAAAACAAGGTCAGGGCCAGACCATCAACTGCTCATATGCAACTTCAGGTTGAAGCTGAAGAAAAGGAAAACAAGTCCACAAGAGCCAAAATATAACCTTGAATATATCACACCTGAATTTAGAGATGATCTGAAGAACACATTTGATGCATTAAACACCAAAGACAAAAGACCACAAGAGTTGTGGAATGACATCAAGAGCATCATATAGGAAGAAAGCAAAAGTAAATGGAAGAAGTAAAGAGGTACAAGAACTGAACTGAAAATTTCAAAGGTCAGCTCAAGAAGCCAAATTCAAATATTATAATGAAATCTGCAAAGAAATGGAGTTAGAAAGCCAAAATGGAAGAACTTGCTCAGCATTTCTCAAGCTGAAGGAACTAATGAAAAGATTTAAACCTCAGCTTTTAGTATTGAAGGATTATATGGGCAAAATACTGAATGATGCAGAATGCATCAAAAGAAGATGGAAGATCACTGTACCAAAAAGAAATGGTTGAGTACTCATTTGACCTAACTTCAATGGCTGGATAACCAGAGGAAGATAACAAAATATGATCAAGGAAACAAGTGTAAATTGCTATAATTTGATGAACTTGACCTATATTATGGATGTAGTTGCTCAAAATACCAACCGACAGAGAAAGTCTTTTCACATCAAAGATCAAGTCTATCCCCTCTGTATACAGGGTTGGTAGGGATGGGCAATTTAGACACTGGCTAACTAAAATGGGAGTGCTATAAAGGGATTAAGTAGCTGGCTTACATATTTTCAAGAAGGAGGTTAGTTTCAGGGTGTGGGTGGGGGAGGTAGAATCCCCACTAAATAGTTTTCATCTTGTCTAACAGGTCTGGTGAAAGGAGATGGAGATAAGATTCTTATGATTCAATAGTGAGCAATTGCTATCATTACTAATTGCAATTGTCACAAATGTAAAAGTAGAAGTTTTATAACATAAAGGGGAGTGTAGTTAAACTTACATTCAGGAGTAGAGGACCCTAGGATCTTCAAAAGAGAAGAGCGTGAGAGGAATGTGTCTCACTATCCAGATAAGTAGTGACACAAGAGATGGACGTAGAGATGATAATATGGAGAGATAGAGCAGCTGAGAACTCCAGACTCATGCAAAGGAAAAGGCTGTGTGCTAGTGGCCTGGAGGCAGGCCTGAAGAATGTGCTCTTTGGTTGTTTAAATGATTATATATTCCTTTATTCCTGAACCTTTTTGTGTACATCCAAAAAAAAAGGGAGCAGGGAAATGTTGAATGATGGTACATAAAGAGGATTGTAATGATATACTTTACTATGCAGAAAGCATCAAAAGAAGATGAAAGGAATACATGGAGTCATTGTACCAAAAAGAAATGGTTAGTGTTCAACAACTTGAAGAGGTAGCATATAATCAAGAGCCAATAATCCTGAAGGAAGAAACCCAAGATGCATTGAAGTTGCTGGCAAAGAACAAGGCACCATGATTGCATGGAATACAAAATTGAAATCTTTCAACAACCGTATACAGCACTAGAGGCACTCACTCATCCATGCTAGGAAATATGAAAAACAACTTCCTGACCAAGAGACTGGAAGAGATCCATATTTGTGGCCATTCCAAAGAGATGTTACTTATCAGAACGCAGAAATCATCGGAAATATCATTGATATCCCATGTGAGTAAAGTTTTACTAAAGGTAACACAAAAACAGTTGCAATTATACATTTAAAGAGGACTTCCAGAGGTTCAAGCCAGATTCAGAAGAGGATGTAGAATAAGGGATATCAGTGCTGTTCTCAGATGGATCTTGGCTGAAAGCAGAGAATTCCAGAAAAAATTTTACTGTGCTTTATTGACTATGCAAAGCCATTCGATTTTGTGGATCACAACAATCTATGGACAATATTGAAAAGAATAAGCATTCCAGAGTACTGAATTGTGCTCTTGAGGAATCTGTACATAGACAAAGAGGCAGTTGTTTGATCAGAACACGGGAAGACAGAATGGTTTAAAATTATGCTTGTGGACCATTTGTGTATAGTAAATTCCCCATCTAAATTCCTCGGTTGCTCAACCTCTAAGTTAGACAGTCTGCAGCCTCATTGTCCCTGACATCAGTTCTCACATCACAGCTGCTTCCTTCTCTGAGTTTCTAGCACACTCAGGTTAGAATTCCAATAAACTAGAATATATGAAGAAAAACATGGAATCAGGACTAGAGGAAGACTCTTTAACAACCTGTGATATGCAGATGATATAAACTTGCTTTCTGAAAATGAAGAAGATATAAAAGGCTTACTGATGAAAATCAAAGAACACAGCCTTCAATATGGGATTCATATCAATGTAAAGAAAACAAAATTCCTCACCACTGGACAAATAAACAACATCCATATAAATGGAGAAAACATTGATGTAGTCAAAGACTTCATTTTCCTCAGCTCAACAATCAATGCTCATGGAATCAGCCATCAAGAACTCAAATAACACAATTCACAATAAAAAGGTAAAAGAAAAAGAGAATATAAAGGATATATTGCATTGGACAGATCTTCTGCCCAAGACCTCTAAAAAGTGTTGAAGAGCAAAGATGTCACTTTGATAAATAAAGTGTTCCTGACCCAAGCCATGGTGTTTTAACAAAACCACATATACATTTGAAAGTTTGACAGTGAATATGGAAGATCACAGAAGAGTTGATGCATTTGATTAATGGCATTGGAGGAGAACATTGAAAATACCATTGACTGACAAAATAAAGAAAAGATCTGTGTTGAAAGAAGTGCAGCTAGAGTTCTCCTTATAAGCAACAATTGTGAGGTTGGCCCAAGATGGGCAGTGTTTCATTCTGTTGTGCATAGGGTCATTATGAGTCAGTACTGACTCAATGGCACCTAACAACAACAACAACAAATGGCATCAAGTCGATTCCAACTCATAGAGACCCTGTATAGGGTTTGTGATGAGCAGCCAGTGAATTTGAATTATCCACCATGCAGTTCAAACCAACCTTGCAGTCCAGTATTTATTCTATAATGTCACACTAGGATAACAAATAGCATCACAATAAATGGAGAAAACATTGAAGTAGTTAAAGATTTTGCATTGCTTGGCTCGGCAATAAGCACTCATGAAAACAACAGTCAAGAAATCAAACAACTTTTTTCATTTGGCAAATCTGATGTACAGACCTCTTTAAAATGTTCAAGAGTGAATATATCAGTTTGAGGACTAATGTGTACCTGAACCAAGCCATGGTATTTTTAATAGCCTCATATATATGTGAAAGTTGCTCAATGACTAAGCAAGACCAAAGATTTATTGATTCATTTGAATTATACTCTTATAGAAGAGTGTGGATTTCCAAAAGAGCAAACAAATCTGTCTTGACAGATATCCATCTAGAATGCTCCTAAGAATCAGATGGCAAGACATTGAATTTCACACTTCAGAGATATTATCAGGAGAGACAAGTCTCTGGAGAGAGACATCATGCTTGGTAATGTGGAGGGTCAGATTCTCACCAAGATGGATTGACAAAGTTGCAGTAACAATTGTTTAAAATATAACAACAATTTTGATGATGGATCAGGCAAAGATATGTTTTGTTCTGTTGTGTACAGGGTTGTTGTTGTTGTATGCCATGGAATCGGTTCCAACTCATAGCGACCCTGTATAGGGTTTCTCAGGCTGTAATTCTTTATGGGAGCAGAAAGCCTCATCTTTCTCTTGTGGATCAGCTGGTAGTTTCGAACCGCTGACCTTGCAGTTCACAGCCTGATTCGTAACTACTACGCTACCAGAGCTCCTAGAAATGACTTAATGGTACCAAACCAACAACAACAACAATGATAAGAAAGACAGGCTGTAGTTTAATTGTCCCTGTAATCTGTAAAGTCAGTGAAGCAACCTTCTCATTCAGGGTTTCTGACACACTCAGGATGTGGTTACCACATTGTTATCTCTAGCACAGTAATACCTAATCATGTCCTAAGAGCTCAGACTGCTTAGATTCATGTAGGCTGAGCATGTGGACTTTTCCCTGGTCCTTGTGACTCTGCCCTGGAACTTCTGTACATAGACTGTTCCATCATTGCTTGGGTTAATCCATCCCATCCACTCAAACTCATGTCCAGGGATGTGACACACCCAAAAAACACAGTAATTAGTGAAGGTGTATCCTGAAGCCTTGCAAGAGACATTCACTGATGCCCCCGGCTTCTTCAGTTCAGCTCCAGATTTCACTAGCTGGACCTGGGAGTGTTCGCCTGCTGAGAGCAGATTGGGATGGATGAAATTCACCTTGAGTATCCAAAACCCCTTCCCCATCCCTGGGACTGGGAACCATTGTTCATGAAGATAGTGCAACCAACAAGAGTAGTCTCCAGGTCCAGTCAATTGTTAGGGAGCTGTCATACCAGAACTACTAATGGGGAGTTGTGTGGATGTTGGTTGTAGATCTGGGAACACAAACATACCCTTATTTGACATAGTAGACTTCAGATTATTTACATATTCATGAGGCAGAATATTTAAGGATTAAGTCTGGGACCCACCAGAGGAATATTTTTTTAAAGTTTTTATTGAGAATTGTTCAAACTGAAACTGAAGAAAATGAAAACAAGTCCACAAGAGCCAAAATATGACCTTGAATATATCCCACCTGAATTTAGAGATCATCTGAAGAACACATTTGATACATTAAACACTAAAGACCAAAGACCAGAAGAGTTGTGGGATAACATCAAGAACATCAGATGCGAAGAGAGCAAAAAGTCATTAAGAAGACAAGAAAGAAGGAAAAGGTCAAAATGAATGTCAAAAGAGACTCTGAAACTTGCTCTCCAGCATAGAGATGCTAAAGCAAATGGAATAAATGAGGAGGTCCCTGGTAGCATAGTGGTTACGAATCGAGCTGCGGGGTGTAAGGTCAGCAGTTCGAAACTACCAGCTGTTTCCATGGGAGAAAGATGAGGCTTTCTGCTCCTGTAAAGATTTACACCCTCGGAAACCCTGTACAGGGTCGCTGAGTCGGAACTGACTCCATGGCACATAACAACAACAACAAGAATATGGAAACACTGAATGTTTTAAAATTTAAATTTAAAAAGGTGTGCACCAAGGTGTCGGGGACCAGCCTCAACAAGGAAGTTTGGTTCACGAAGTAGGGAGACCTGGCGGCAAAAGAGATAGAGAGAGAATATACACAAAAACACAACGAGAGAAAAAAAGAGACACTCCGAGACCAGAGTGGATGCAAAACTGGCAGACAGACCCTGCATGGCAAGCAGCATGTCTGTAAAACATGGCCCTGCAAGCAGTAATGCATGCAGGATTCAATCTGCATCCATCTTTTATTTCAGGGAGGGATTTTACACAAAGGAAGAAGGGGATTATTAAGACAGGGTACAGTAGTAAAATGTGATTAATCGTTCAAAACAAGACACAATGATTTACAGGAACAAATTTTAAAATATACATCACAAATTGTCTTAATAATCTAACATTCTTAATTTTCCAAAAATTCAAGCAAACTGTTTTAAATTACTTTTTAGGCTTAATTCCTAAGGCAGCAGCGTGAGGTTTCTCAAGGCTAATTAACATACCTACAGCACTTAATCTCTAATGGGTAAAAGTGAAAAGGATTTAAAAGGTCTGAAGAGAGTCAAGCTGTTTCAGCTACCTGGCTTAAGCTTTCAGGAAGAAGGAGGACCTCTAGGTTAATGGGTTACACCTGGGGATGATTTGAAGGGGCAGCCACTATTATTCCTTGAACAATACTCCCGGAATTTGCCAATCCACTTCGAGTGAATACCCTGGGCGTATTGTCTCCAGAGCCTCCTTGCAGTATCCCAGCAAACCTGCCTTTGGAACTGCCTCGGCTTTAGAAGGGGTTTTTGTTTTAATGGATATCCAGGGCTCATGTATTAAGTTAATATCAAACATAACTGAATAATTTAATAAAGAACAGTTTGGACATGCTTGCCAGGTGGCCAGAGTTTGTTCCTCAGAGAGATTTGTTCCCAGGACCCTATGCACTGCCAACACAGTGGAGACATTAAGAGAGGCACATAAGAAACCATTTTCTCAGAAGCTACAATTACTGGAGTTAGAAGCGTAGAATGAATAATAAGACCAAAGAAAATTATACAGAGGTATCCCACCAGTGAGTACACAAAACCAATGAACCCGGGACATCAGGAGGTCACTTCCTTTGGCCCTCAGGGTCCCTGGCTAGCAATCCTGAGTGGGGCCATCGTGTTGGATTTTCGTCCATGACACAGGGCCTCAACATCTCAGTGACTGTGGTACCCAACACCAAGGTTGGATCCTTTCACCATATTTATTCAATCTGTGTGCTAAGTAAATTTCCAAGAAATTAGATTACATGGAGAACAAAAAAAGTCATCAAGATTAGAGGAAGACACATTAACAACCAGCAATATGTAAATGATACAACACTGCTTGCAGGTAGAGAAAAGGACATTAATATTTTCTGACAAAGATGAATGCCTTCGGTATGAAAGTTAAATTCCTCAAACTGGACTAATAAATTGTTGTTAAGTGCTGTCACCACCACTCATCTGTCAGTTTGTTATACTGTGGTGATTTGTGTGTTGTTATGATTCTGGAAGATATGCCACAGTATTTTAAATACCAAAGGGTCACCCATGGTGGACAGATTTCATCTGAGCTTCCAGACAAACACAGATTGAAGGAGAGACAGAAGAATTCTGAATATATAGTCACTGAAAACCTTATGAGTATCCATGGAATACTGTTAGCACTAGATTATTGAGTATTGAAAAATGATGAAGAGCACCAGAATATTGTCAGATATGGTGCCAGAAGATGAGCACCTCAATTTGGAAGGCACTCAAAATGCAACTGGGGAATAGCTGCTTCCTCAAAATACAGTTGACAGTGATGACACAAATGAAGTAAAACTCTTGGGACCATGACTTGCTGATGGCACAACTCAAAGAGACAAGCTGTAAACATCCATTAATAATTGGAACATGGAATGTACCAAGTATGAATCTAGGAAAATGGGAGATTACCTAAAATGAAATAGAATTCATATATATCACTATCTTAGGCATCGTTGTTGTTGTTTTTAGCTGCCATCGAGTCCATACCAACTCATAGCGACCTTATGCACAGCAGAACAAAACATTGCTCAAACCTAGACTAACCTCACTACTGTTGCCACACTTGAGTCCATCTATGCTGCCACTTGCCAATCAATCTCGTTGAGGTCTTCCTCTTTTTATTTGACCCTCCACCTTACCAAACATGATGTCCTTCTCCAGCTACTGGTCCCTCCTGACAATATGTCTGAAGTATGAGAGACGAAGTTTAGCCAACTTGGCCTCCAAGGAGCACTCTGGCTGTACTTCTTTCAAAACGGATCTATCTACTGGTCCTTTTGGCAGCCCATGGCACTTTCAATGTTCTCCTCCAACACCATAACTCAAAAGCATCAATTATTCTACAGTCTTCCTTATTCACTGTCCAGCTTTCACATGCATATGAGTTTATTGAAAATGCCATGGCTTGGGTCAGGGGCACCTTTGTCCTCAAGCTGATGTCTTTGCTCTTCAACACTTTACTAAGTTCTTATGCAGCAGATTTCCCTAATGAAATACGTCATTTGCTTTCTTTATTGCTGTTTCTGTGAGTGTTGATAGGCATTAGTGAGTTGAAATTGACTGCTATTGACCATCTGAAATCTGACAATCCCATGGTTTACTATAGTGGGAATGACAAATTGAAAAGGAATGGTGTCACACTGATCATCAAAAATAACATATCAAGATCAGTCATGAAGTTTAACTTGTCTGTGATAGAATAATATCCATATGCCTACAAGGAAGACCAGTTAATATCACTATAATTCAAATTTACACACCAAGCACTAAAGCCAGTGATGATGAAATTGAAAAACTCTACCAATTTCTTCTGTCTGAAGTTGATCAAACATGCAATCAAGATGTATTGATAATTACTGGCAATTAAAATCCAAAGATTGGAAAGAAAGAGAAAGAATCCGTAGTTGGAAAACATGGTCTTGAGGATAGAAATTATTCTGAAGATTGCATGATAGAATTTTGCAAGACCATGAAATTCTTCATTGTAAATGCCTTTTTAAAACAACATAAAAGATGACCACACACATAAACCTTACCAGGTGGGATACAGAGAAATAAAATTGACTACATCTGTGGAAAGACTCCATATTATCAGCCAAAACAAGGCCAGGGGTAAACTGGAACAGACCTCAATTGCTCACATTTAAATTTAGGCTGAAACTGAAGAAAATTAAAACAAATCCACAAGTGCCAAAATATGATCTTGAATATATCCCACTTGAATTTAGAGATTATCTGAAGGACAGAATTGATGCATCAGACACTAAAGACCAAAGACCAAAGACCAGAAGAGGTGTGGAATGACATCAAGAACATCATACAGCAAGAAAGCAAAAGAACATTAAGTAAAAAAGAAATAAGAAAAATCCAAAATGGGTGTTAGACTCTGAAACTTGCTCTTCAGTGTAGATATGCTAAAGCAAATGGAAAAAGAGAAGTACAAGAACTGAACTGAGAATTTCGAAGGTCAGTTTGAGAAGATAAAGTCAAATATTATAATGAAATCTGCAAAGACATGGAGTTAGAAAACCAAAAGAGTTTTTGAAATGCTCAGAATTTCTCAAGTTGAGGGAACTGAAGAAAAGTTTAAACCTTGACTTGTGGTATGGCAGGATTCCATGGGCAAAATATTGAATGATATAGAAGCAGCAAAAGAAGATGGAAGGAATACACAGAATCGCTGTACCACAAAGAAATGCTTAACGTTCAACCATTCCAAGAAGTAGCATATGATCAAAAGCCTATGATCCTGAAGGAAGAAATCCAAGGTCATTGAAGTCACTGGCAAAGAAAAAGACACCAGGAATGGGTGGAATACAAATAGAAATATTTCAACAAATGTTGAATGGAGGAACTCAAACATCTATGCCAAGAAATGTGGAAGATGACTACCTGGCCACCTGACTAGAAGAGGCCCATATTTCTGACCATTCCAGAGAGGTAACCCAATGGAATGCAGAAATTACAGAACAATATCATTGATATCCCATGTGAATAAAGTTTTACTAAAGGTATTTCAGAAACGGCTGCAGCTGCACATTAAGAGAGAACTTCCAGAGGTTTAAGCCAGATTCAGAAGAGAATGTGTAATGAGGGATATCTTGCTGATGTCAGATGGATCTTAGCTTAAAGCAGAGAATACCAGAAACATGTTTACCTGTGGTTTATTGACTATGC